ACCAGCAAGGGCCCGCCTCCGCCACGGCGTGGGGCAGCCGAGGCGAAGCCGGTCATCAGCATCACAGCGCCAGCCACCGGCCCACGGATCGTCGCGCCGCCCTCCTTCGACGGCACCACCATGCGCTTCGTGGTGGAGCACCAGTGAAGAGCGCAGGTGAGTCGGTGCAGGCTGTTAGGCGTGGCGGTCACCGGCGAGGGTTAAGGGCCGACCGGGTTACCCACGATATGAGAGCTGTGCCACAGCTTCTCCTCGAGGGGGGTAAGTAAGGGGCCCAGGGGCCGCAGGGAGGGCCTCACTGGGACTTAAAATACAGGCATAAGATAGAAACGCAAAGGTAATGCACGCCCTTCGGTGCAGTTTGGTATCCCTCGGAGCAGGTAAATACCCCCTTTTTTTTTGGCCTAGAGGCAGTGTCAGTAGAAGCACACCGTAGCTGCTCGTCATGCAGCCTGTATTTGCGCAGCCCCACGGCTGGGGGGCCCCGTCTCAGTGGGGTCCCCTCGCTCCCGGTGAGGGGAGTGCTGCTGGGCACCTCTTCCGGACCCACCTTGCAAGCCGTGAAACGACCCCTCTGCCTCGGCAGCGCAGTCCCGATTCCTCCCGAGGGGAGGACAGCGCCCATCTCTCTGCCCCTCACCCCTGCTTCTCCCCATCCTTGGGAAGAGTGGGGCAGGGGTCTGATGGAGGCAAACCCTTATTTTAGGTCCTTGTTAGCAGGATGCGGGAGCAGAATACATGGGGTAGACCCTGGTGTGCTCCGCTGTGCCATGGGGCTACTGGCAGGGGCGCCTGCAGCTGCCTGCACTGCAGGAGGGCTCCAGTGGAGCCTGTGGGCACCGCTGCAAATAATGATTTCGCACAGCTACTCTGAGCTTGGCTCGCCGCAGTCCCACCAGTGTCCAGTTACCTAGGGCTGTAACCCAGGGCCGGCCTCCAAATCTGGGGATGTGTGTGTGGGAGCATTGAGTATCTGGTCCAGAGCAAGGAGGACGGCACGGGGCTGGGCGTACAGCACGCGTCGAAACCAGGGTGCAGGATGTCTTGCGCAAAATAACCAAGGAACGATGATGTTTCGTTTTAAAATACCTGAAATATTAGGAAAGTGCCTTCAGGATGGGTGTCACTCCTCTTGCATTAAAACACACAGCTCATCTTTATCAAGTGCAGTACTGGGCAGAGCTACCAAAGTCTTTTGTGGCTTACTGAAGACTCATGGGAGTTTGTTGTTGGTGTATATCAAGAGGCAAAGAGAAACAGCGGTGACAGTCGGAGGTTTGGGTTTGTCACCAGTTTGCACTGAGTTTTGTTCGGTCGCATGCTAGAGGGTAAATTTTTTCTTCCAGTGTTTGGGTTATCTTTTTTTGCATCCGTAGTTCTTTTAATTTGCATCATCTACTACAATGCAGTAGATTATTTGTTGAATGAAACCTTACTGAAATGCTTTATATGCTTACTTCTTATCTGCTTGTAAATATTTTATCTTCGAAATACCATTCTTTTATCCTGGGTGTAAATTAAGTTGTTTTCATTGCCCCTTACGGGGTCACTCAGGACAGGCAAAGTAGCAATTTAAGTTGAGTTCTGCCATGCTACTTGGGTCGATCTTGTCAGCAAAGTCTTGATCAAGTATCTAGATAAAATGGCAAAAGCTATTTGATTTTTCCATTTGGTCTATAGGCCAGATTCAGACCGCTAGCACAAGGAATCGGTTATTTGTGAGACTTCAGTTTAGACACTCACTGTTTTTGAAAAGGACATTTCTATCTTACAGCAACTACTTAAATGAAAAGCCCTAGCTTCTTGATCTTATTGCACTCTTTAAAAGTGAAACCCATCATATTTCCTGGTGTGACTCGCCCCTCGTTTCCCAGGGGGTTATCCTGCCCTGTCATGCAGCTAGCTTGCCTACAATACCTGGTGCATCACTGCCGTGGAGGATGCTCTCGGCAAATTGCTCTTTCTTATTGGTGACATTAATAACTGCATCGAGGGTCTGCTTCTTTGCATCATGTCGGAGCTCTACCGTTGCGAGGCAGGTGTGAAGGCTGCCCCGAGAGATCGGTGATGCAGAAACTTTCGTACTCGTTACAGAAGGTCATCCAGCAGTTTGAAGACTTCATTTCATCTTTTACCATTAATGATGCCAAGATGCACGTTGTCTAATACAGACAGGGATGCTCCTCCCTGCCGTCTCAGACCGGCTGAGGTAGGTGTCCTGCTGGTGTATAATGGATGCCGTGTGGGGGTTTTTTTCTTGACCTGTTCTGAAAGTCAGTGAAACAAAGCATTTTAACTGCGTGCTGCAAGATGGATTTTAGCTTGTCGTCAGACTTTGGTTATTCATATAGCTCTCAGTGGAAAATAAGGTATATGCCAGAGGGGAATCGCATTTACAGCCGCCGCCTCCTTTCCCATTATTCTGTTCTGTCCTTGTACCTACTCAGCATTTCCATTCACCTACATAACTTTCGTGTCCCTGTGGATAATGTTTTTCTCCTCTTGTCTCTTTTATTATCTGCTTTTTTTTTTTTGTTTCCCCTTCTTTTCCTGTATCTCTTTTGTCTTTCTCTTCCTAATTAAGTGTGTGTGTTTGCTTGGGGTAGTGTTTTTCCTCTAACAAGAACAGGAGTGTAATTTCATATGAATCAGAGGGTGAACTGTTGATCATTTTTTTCATTCCAATTGCTTTCACATCAGATCAGGGTTTTTTTGATTGCAGCAGTGCTGTGTAGATCCTGAAATGGATTTTAAATCAGCCAGATTTCATCACGTGAGCATGGGTTTTGAATAAAATACTGTCCTTTCAGGTCCCTTTTTTTTACTAGCCAAAATAAGCTGAATGAGTGCTCTTTCTTTCCACTCCTGTATTTCTTTCTGCACTGCACATAATATCTTCCTCCCTTCTTTATTTTTTTCACATCTTTATTCACAAACCGTGTCACCGTGTCAAGGACTGCTCCATCTTGGTCTCTGTCACCTCTTGGAGATCACCGCGACAGAGCTGACTTGAACCTTTGGTGGTGGAGTGATGCCTGTGGAGCTGTTGGCACCAGATCCTCCGCACATCTGCTGCTCTTCCAGCACTTCTTTCTGTGGCTGGTGCTCTCTTCTGCCTAATCGGTGGGGTAAAATGGATCCTATCAATTTGGATTCTGGCAAAATCCAAGTTGCCATTTCTGAACAATTCTTAAATTTTTGATATACAGCAAATACTAGAGAATATGTACATGTTTCTGAGAGGTATCATGAGGTCACTTTTCTCCCTCCTCTTCTTCACTCACAGTAGTTGGTGAGCTTTTAGCACCATAGTTCTTGCCTGCTGCATTCTTTTTCCTTCATACGGAAAAAGAATGATGCTAATTTTCAGTTCTAGTAAACTTGCCATATCTGCCTGCATCCGAACCTAGACAGCGCCGACCTGTAGTGAGCAGACTGCCCGAAGGGAGCTCATTCCCAGCCGGAATGACTGAAAACGTGTTTTTAATTTTTATATCTATTCCCATGTTATACTCTGGGGAGTTTCTGCCTTGCGTTAGGTAAATAAATGAGAAAATGTAGCAAAGTAGAAAGTAACTGTGGTAAATTGTACTGCCGATATTCGAGGGGTATTTTTCCTTGCTCTGTTCAAACATGTGCCTAAACTGAAGCCACCTTATAGTTACAGGAATACATGGGACATTTATTTTTGTGGTGAAAGTAGGCTAAGTCAAATGTGAGCAGTTCTGTCACCAAAATATGCAAGTATACTTACCAGTTGTAAGTGTTTCTTCCTACCTGCCATCAGACAATCTATGCCTGCCATTAAAAAGTAATTTTGTGTGGATAGCATACACGAATGATTTTTTTAAAGGCTCATAAGTTGATATTTTTAAACTCTGTTTTAGTTGTGCCCTATTCAGCAAAATATATATTCTACATGATTAAGTCAAAAAGTCAACTTACAGTGAAATACGCAGTACGTAGGATTTACTTATGCTGATGCCTTCGCTGAGAATTTAGTAAAGCACCTGTCCAATTTTAGTGGGAAATACAGGAATATTCCAAGAACTAAAAGGGCTTCAGCATTTGATCTAGTAAATCAGTCTACGAATGGAAATAAGCATAAGCTCGTGTTCAAATCTGTAGCTACTGAGGGAACGTTTAGGTAGTGCTTAACCTTGACACCAATGAAAGTTAAGTGTGAGCTTAATGACTCTTCTTGCCCGGGATGCTTTCCTGGGCCAGTATTTAAGTCTTAACTCCACAAATCTTGGAGCACGTGATTACAGGTTGTTTTACTTTTGCTTACGTACGCCGTGCAGGATGCTGTGTTTGAAAGTAAAGTGCTCAGGTCTTTAACTTACGCGGATGGATCGCTTAAATCCCGGATAGATCGCTTTGCCCTCTACCTACCTATGTGCATGGGGTTCCCCAGGACCAGTCCGTGGGGAACCGTGGGGTCGTAAGGCAGCGCATGTTTCACACCTCGAGCAGCAAGGATCGATTCTGCTCAAAAAATGAGGCTGCCCGACCACTGACTCGGTTTAAAAGGTTGGGTGCTATTGTCTGATTCTTGGCAGTAGCTTAGGAAATTAGTAGCAAGAATAGTGTGACAATGAAGGAGATACTATGCACTTCCCTGGAGTAGTGAAGATTGCTCTCTGAGAATTGGTTGTGGCAGCTCTCTAAGAATCTACTTTTTATTAATGATGCTTTTATGTTTGTTTGTTTGTTTTACAGGGATAAGGAAGAAGAATCACGCTCCTTTAATCTGAAATACACTTCGTAACTCTAAACATACATCCTAAAAACTGCTTCTACAGTTTTTTAATTTTTTTGCTTCATCATACAAAACAAGTGTGTAAGTTTCCTGTTCCCTCTGAAATACCCCCCAGTTTTGGAGTATGCATATATTTAATTATGCGAGCAACACTAAATTACTGCATTATTTTCTGCAAAGTTGTTTTTGTATTGAAGCCAACGTGCAGGCCTTAGGCGTTGCCTCTGTGCTGGTGGCTAGCGGTAGTGGTGCCACTACAGCTGTTTGTAAAACGCAGGGTGTAAATGCAGCAGTGTTCCAGTGTGGATCGACGCACAGCTGCGCCCAGGTCCCTGGAACAAGTTGTGATGATCCAGTGCAGCCCTGCAACCCTTTAAAAAAAAAAAGAGCCCTCAGCTCTCTCCCATTGCAGTAAATGAGGGTCTTCCCCATAGGTTTTGGTGACGATTTGTGATCAGATGTCTATTTTGTACTCTCTACTTTGTACTTGGAATCGCAAACGGAGAGATCTGTAGTATTTAGATTATCTTTAGTGTTTATTTTTTGGCATGGTTCAAAACAGATTGTGTAAATTTCAGAAAACACATTTGATTGCTTTCGTTTTTCATTTGCTCCTCTGTACTGCCTTAAACATCGCAAGCTGCCTTAATGATGACAGTGTTTAAATACTGGAAAGCCAGAAATTGAATGTAATAATTTTAGACCCCAGTTCTAAAGGAGAGGACAGCATTTGTTTTTCTTTAAGACCGCAGTCTTTTCTTGCTAAAATTGCAACATTGCTGAAAACACAATCCTAGTGATTCCCCCGTGAGAGTTTTTTAATGTTACAGCCCCGATAATGCGTAGTCATTTCCTTAGCTGTTGTTTGACAGGTTTATCTGAGGGCTACATCCACGCTATCTGTATTTGCTAAGAAAATATCTCTCCTTTGAGCCAGAAAATATAAAATAAGATTACTCAAAATGCAGTGATATGTATGTCCATATGTCAAACTTTGCTTAAACTGATGGTTTTGTTGCCAGCAACCAGTTTGTCTCAGTGAAAGAGAATGGTTATCATGACAGTAAAACTAAACTACGACAGTGTGTTCCCTGCCCAAAATTTCAGTTCAGTGAAGCACTTTGGGAAGCCAATAAATGTAAGATCAAGCCTAAATTGTTTAGCATAAAGCTTTCTCGAGGTAACAGGTTGGAAATCTAAAATCTAAATGCAAAACCCAAAAGTCTGTACTTAAGCATTTACCCACGGGCAGGATTTTCCTGCACCTGTTCTCAAGGTTTCCTGCTGCTAAGGAAGTTTCAGGGTTTCCCGTTCTTAAAGAAAGCCCCAGCTTTTCATTTCCATGAATAACTCTCAAGACGCAGAAAACTCAGCTACAACTGTCTTTAACGATACACTTGAGATTGTATTTCAATGCAATTTATTTGTTTACAGGCACAAACTGAAATTACCCTCAGGATGAAATGCACTGCAAGTATACATATAGTGAGTGATTTAACATATATCTTCTCATTTATCTTCATCGTTGTGGAAATCCAATGAAAAAATGCTCTTCTAACCCTTTTTAAAGAGCTTGGCGTGCCCAGCTAGAGCATATAGCGTGTAAGCTTAATCCCCGTGCTCTTCGGTTGTACGGTCTACAGTTACAAGCTTTCGGGCTGAATGCCTCTTAAAGAAAATGGATGCTTCTTCACCGTTTTCATGACTGATAAGTCCGTAGACGTTACGACTAGAGTATCGGTATTAAACGAAACAGTACTTCGGACTGCAGGACAGTGCAGGTACCAGAGTAGATCGTCCACTGTGACATACAGGTGTATGGTACATACATTATAATACTAGCATCCATGTTTAAAAATGTTTTGTCCTATCTTTTCCTATATCGGTGCTCGGAGCGAAGTTTCACGTTTCAGTTTACAAGATACAGGTTTGCACACACAAACTCAGGGTTTACAGTTTCACCCGGTGTACTTGAAAGGAAAAAAAATGCCTAGAAAACAAAGTGCCCAGGATTTCAACATGTATTTGTTGGAGGAAAATTTTGCAGGGTTTTTTTTAACTGCCTGTGGAGACGAAAGCAATGAAATGAGGCAATACCAACAGCTATTTATTTTCTCAGGGGAGATTTCTTCAGTGGAATGTGTCAATTCTAATGTCAAACAGTGTTTGCTTAATTTTGTCTGTTACTAAAGAGACTCCGTGTTTGCATCAAGGGGTCAGTTTTGCAAGCAGCTGAGCTTCGCAGACCCAGTCCAGCAAAGCCTTCACATGCATCTTTAACGTCAAATATCTAAGCGGATTCCTGGGGACTTCAGTGGAAGCGCAGTCTCTTTTTTTTTTTTTTTTTTTTTTTTTACCCATCAACATAACGCTTTGCTGAACTTGGCCCAGAGCGCTGAGTGCCTTGCAGACCCGAGTCTCGGGTTCTTCACTTTATATGTATAAAACCGGAGCTCTGGGCTTGAGTCTAGCCAGACCCAGCAGATAGCGCCATGAAAGGTCACCAGAAAAAAATCCGGTAGTATGGTGCTCCTCCATGTATACCCAGTGGTGAACTTCTCCAGCTGATGGGGTGCTGTGTAACCACATATCTTGGATTAGAGTCAAGCCCTCCGTGTCAGGGTTCACAAGCTGCTAGTATTGTATGTTTCACGGTGCAGTCATAGTACGTTACAGCTGAAATTCACCCCGTGTGCAAAGCAGGGCAAAATCCTGTGCACCACTCAAGTTCCCCCCAGCCCTGCCGTCGGGGTTCGGGGTCTGCAACAGCCGGCCAGCCACTTCCACGCGTTTTCGGTCAGGATCCAATTAAAAGTTTGAGCGGGACTGGAGTGATGCACGAACGTTGTTCTGGTCTTTTGCAGCAGGGTTGGTTTCACTCAGTTAAATTTAATCCTTGGTGAATCACTTGATGAATGATTTAAAATGTATTTATGGGTTGTGTGGGTTTTGGTTTGTTTTTTTTTTTCTTGTCTGCATTCAAAGCTGCCTTTACTCTCTAGTGTTGATGGCCAAAGTGTCATTCCTTACGCTTACAAATTACCATTAACTTGTGGCTACCTGAGAACACATACACTACTTTAAAAATGCTTGTGGTTTTTTTTCCCCTTTTTCTGGTCTTTTTCCTTTTTTTTTCTCTTTTCTTTTTCCCCCCTTTTTTAAGGGGGTGGGTTATCAGTGTAAAGATATTTAAAAGTGCAAATGTGAAGTAAGGATAATGATTGTTAAGAGGATGTGGGTGATATGTCTGATGAGAGAGCGGTGGGCTATAAGGCAAAGGGGAAAATGCCGTGAACGCGTTGTGTTGATGATTGTTGCCTGTGGGGGGAAAAAATAAAAAAAAGAAGATATGTAACTGGAGAAAAATGGACTCTCTGAGCTGCTCTCAACATAGACGACACTGTGGCAAGTGCGTAGCCGAAGCCCGAAGTGATCCCACTGCAGGATGCCGTGAGCCTGGGATTGAAGGACAGCAGAGTCGCTCTGAGAATTGCACTAGCAGCGTGTTGCACGTCGGGAACGCTCCAGTACGTCACGACCACGTGAGAACGGACTGTCTGAAACCGCTGAGTACCAAAGTTTGTAACAGAATGAGTTAGCATTTGTATTATGTTGGGTTTTTTTTTTGAATGTTATGATAAATAAAATGTATTTTTCAGTAAAAGACACACTGCAAGTAAGCCTGCAGTTCCCTGCTTGGTCATATTTTTCTGAAGTTACCTTCGCTGTTGTGCAGAACAAGTGATAACAGAGCCATTACTTGGTTCAACGTGTAAGCAGTAACAAGAAGAAAAGATTTCACCAGAGAGCAGACCCAAAACCCTGCACTCAGAGTCTCCTCGAGTTTGTCCCAGTGTTGTAAGCCCCTTTCTGACCTGATCTCACTGTTTATTCTGCCCTCTTAGGACAAAGGGAAGTTGGGGGCATTGCTTCGTTTGACTCTCTTGGATTATTTTTTTTCCCCAGATGTAACTTAAATGAAAAAAGAACTCCCCAGTTTCAGTGGACTGACTTTGACTGGTATATGGGCTTGGGTATCCAAAGAACTGCATCTTTGTCTGTTGTAATGTGTTCAGAGAGAGCAATTGGTGGGGTGAATGACTTTTTTCTGCTCATTCTCTATGTTATTTTCAGTGTCTAATATTGTGATACAGTCAAAAATAGGATCACTTTATTAGTGGCTGGCAGTATTGCTTGAATGATTGCTAGGAGAAACCTTTTGCTGCTTTCACGTGTTCCTTCTACCCTAATGGAGATTGGGTAGCTTTCTGATGTTAAGTCAAGTCCAAATGTTTAAAAAAAACACGAGTCAAACACTGAAAAATCACAAAATGGACTTGAAAACTAAAAGATTAGTTTTGCAGTTTAAAAGAACACTTTCACTTCTCAGTTTTCAGTATGTAAGGGGCACATTATAATGATCTTCTTTTAGTTACGTGCCCGAGATGCTTGAAGGAAAAGAGATTCCCACCTCATTATTTATCTGCAAGTAATACAGTATGAAGACATCTACTGTGAATTTGCCGTATCATTCCAAGACGTGGCTACACAGTCTTCCTACCTTGCTGGAAGCACAAGTTTACTGGTAAAACAGTGGTTTGGTGTTTGTCTCATTCTCTCTCTCTCTTTCTGGATTCTTTGAAATTTGGACCTTAGCATTGCATTTAGGATAGATGTCATCAGTGACTTCACTGCCAGTGTATAGTTAGTGATTCCTATACAGAGATACAAACGGATTAATTGGCAGACCCAAAAGACTTCAGAGAGGAATGAGAATAGATGTTGAAAGGAAGAATTGGGAAAAGGGGGAATGAACTGGGGAGAGTGCAGCCGCACAGGCTTAGCTCAGCAGGAGCAAGCTGGGTGACTGCAGGAGATCAAAGGATGACCAGAATGGAACCAAATTAATAGTGGGTGTGTAGAGCAGAGAGAAAGGCCTTAGACCACTTTGTTCAAACTAGAGGAGTCCAAAATTGCAAAAGGGACCTGGGGTTGTCAACGGGAAATTTTGGGAACCGCTCCTTTACTTTTCTCCAGGAAGGGCTCCTGGAGCCTGATTTCAGTGGACCTCTGTAACGAGCTCTTCACAGCACTGCTGGTTTCTCACGATAGATGGACTTTTTAAGCTGAAACCTCTACAAAAGAGAGGTCAAAAGTAAATATGCTGAGAGGCATTAACTTCAACCTTTCCCTAGGGAGCCCAGTCTTGCAGACAGTGTTTGTCCAACAGCAATGTGCCTTACACTACAAAACTCTACTGAAACTAAAGTGAGAGTTTCATACGATACCTTAAAGTAATCTGAAAAGTCAAGTGAACTATTTCTGGGATTCTCAAGGATTGGTGGAGAAAATCGTAAGAGTTTCTAAATAGTCTTTAAAACATCGCTGGTAGGAATGATGAGACCAAAAGGTAGAAATGCAGCACTTTTTGCCAGGAGGAGCAGGAACAATGCAAAATGAGAAGCAGATAATTCCTTGATGTCAGATCTAAGCAAGCTATCCAGGATAAAACAATTTATTTTTTTTTAAAGCACCTACTTTACAATTGCTATCACCTTGGATTGTCAGTATTGAGAAAAGTAATTTGCTTGCCAAACCTGAACTGTATCCCTCGTCTATCCAGCTGTTTAATTTTTGAGGTACCTATCATCTAGTTACCAAATTCGAACCTGACGCTGCAGAATAGTGCCTGCCAGCCCAGCTCTGCCACTGCCCCTCTTTCCATTGACCTCTGCTGGACAAGGCACACGGTTCAAGTTGAAAATGTGGTTAAAAACCTTGCTCAACCAGGACTTCTGCTCGTTCTGCTACTTTTAACAAATCCTCCTGTGTTCTAAGGTACAATTGCAGCATGCATTATATGGGCTTGTAACTCCTAAAATGTATCCGTACTTAAGGACTGCAGTTCCTTCTACGCTGTGTAGCTAGACAAATTCTCTACCAGGTGCTCTCAATAAGTCAGAGTTGACTTCGTAAGTAACATGTATTCATTGGAAATCTGGGCTAAGTATTTTACAAGTTGTTGCATGTGTGTTAACCCTAGCACCTTTCACCAAGTATCAATTAATTTTATTAAAGGTAAAATAATTAAAATTATGATCTTGTTGCCACTAACAAAGGGAAAGGAAGACGCTGTCAGCGTGATTGCAGGCTGTTCTGAGATCATGCTGATTTACACCCGTGCAGCTCTGGTTGGTATCCATTATTGGTAGGAAAGAATGCATTTTACCAGCAGTTATTTATGGTCAAGTGTTAAAAAAATAATGATGTTTAGTCCCCATATCTGCTAACCTGTACCGCACCGATGGCTTAATTCATAACCTCATGAGGAGGTCTGCCTTCCAAACCATTGATCTTTATATTTCCCTGTGCTTTCTGCACCAGAATGTGTTTAGGAGTGGAGTGAGAAACTGAATCCTGGAATTCAAATATTTTTTGGAGTATATGAAAAATAGTCTAAAAATTAGCACTCCTTGGAAGTTTAAGGGGAAAGTTTCAAAATCTCTTTTGCAAGTGGGTTCCTTTTTGGACTTAGCTGGATTATCATTGCAGTGTTCTTTCTGTGGCTTCCGATTAGAAAGGACCGAGCATTTGTTTGCTTCTCTAAACTTCATGTATGAATTATTGTTTAATTGCTACCATCGCTGATTATTTAAAAGTACGCGTAATAGCCATTGTTAAAGATGTATGCTGCGTATTTGTGATTAACCCCCACTGATTGGATAAGCGCTCATATTGTTTGCTTTGTTTGTAACCCTAAGTGTGTTTTCACTTCAAATGCAGGCTTAAGCGATGTATTAATTTCACCTTATTTTTAGAAGATTGTCAGTTTTGTTGTTTCCGTAGCTATGGAGCCCACGTAAGGAAGCCGTGGCCTTCCATTACCCAGCTGTTGACTAAACCCCTTCTGGAATCCCCATTATGTCCAGCTGTTAGGGTCAGATAGCTTCAGAAGCAAGTGTATTGCTCCGATACCAGGGGGTATCCACGAGGACACGTATCGCTTCTGAAGGAGCAGTGTGGGCCTCAGAGGCTCTGTTCGATTTAGTTTCAAGGGATGTTGTCAAAGCTGTGGAAGCCCAAAAATTGCCCTTACAGGCTGATTGTCCCATTCTGAAAGACCAGGTTTCAGTAGCGCAGATGGGCACGTGATTTTCCTCAACAAGCTCTGCCAGGGCTCGACGAGTAAATAAAAAAGCAAAACACACAGGTCAGTATCTCTAGGAGACTTGATGTATTTATGTTAAACAGACCTGTGCATTTCATGTGAAAGAGAAGCAAACCTCGTGTCATTGGCCAGATACTTGGCAATAGTCAGATTATCTTTTGTAATCAGAAAATATTTTATGTTAGGCTTTTTTAAAAGTGAGCACTGATGTTACATTATTTTTATGTGCCAAAGGGCCCTGTTTTACAGGCACACATTCGACAGGTTCTTAGGTTGGATAAATTTGAGGGGGGGTAAGCCTTGCAGTGGGATTGCTGATATCAGACACAGATCAAACAGGTACAAATTGCATTATCTAGAACCTTTTTATTCTGATTTTGGGTTGTGAAGTCATGGGCAAGCCTGGCAGACTGTTGACGCAAATTAGGATGTGGGGTTGAGGTCATCATCTGTTGATATCCCTATTCTCTACAAGTGAAATAGTGATGATAGCTATTTCTCTATGCTGCTCTTTGTCCACCTTCTCTATTTAGAGTGTCAGATCACTGCAGGAGGAGACTGCCTCTTTCTAGGTGCGTGAATACTTAGCTCTGATCTTATTTTTGTTTTATAACACAAATATCGAGTAGTAATAACAAATGTAAAAGCTTGTCTTCAGTTTCAGTTCCTAAAACAGTAGTGGAGGTATCAAACAGTGTCTACAAAATAGAGGGTGCAGACTTTGGGAGTGGATATTGAGGGGAGCAGACAGCTTTGTGGGAGCCTTGCTGAAAGGAGGAGGACTGTGTTTGAGGAGAAGGAGGGGAGTCTTGGAAGGGAGGAAGGAGAAACTGCCCCTCGTTGAGGGAGGAGGAATGCCTGGGGATGTGGTGTTGCATAAAATCTTCAGCAGACAAGTGGAAGAGGGCATTTAAGGCTGAGGAGCAGGAGCAGGTTTGCTGGCAGCGCTGGCCATGTTATTTTACAGGGTGGTGCCAGCAGTGTTGGTATCGCTCCGGCCTTAACTCATTTCTGGTAAGTGTCAACGCTGAAGAGGGGCGCCTGGGTCTTACCTCTCCTCTGGGCAGAGGATTTGGGCAGGCACCTCCAGCACATGGTGCATCCTGCTTGGGATCTACACCACCCTCTGGAGATACCTCCATCTCCTGACTAGAGGGGGAGCCCAGGACAAGTGGGTGTCCAACTTACGTTATTGGTTCCTATGAGGTGGTGAATTAAATGGCTCCTCTTGCCTCTATCAACACTACCGAGAGGCTTTCCCAACCCAGAACGTAACGGACAAAAATCAAGACTGAAAACAAAACAATTTTTTCACACTGTATTTTTACCTGTTTTATTTATGCTTTGACTAGAATTGTGTCAGCATTTTCAGGAAAGACAACAAGCAGGCTGTTTCATCCCATTAATAGTTTGATTTTTGCAGATTTCTGCACTCTTGGTTTTTTACAACACAAAAGAATTTGGAAATTTTTTTTTATTCTTGTAATACTTTTATTTTTTCATGACAATCTATAAGTTTTTCCTGCCTGGTTTTGTTTTTTTGAAAAACAATTGTTCCTGGCTTTTTATTTTACTTTTTTGTGACCAGCACTCACCCACCTTGTCCTATAAAAATTAAATCAGATGGATCACGTCAGAGATCAGCTGAGCTGGGATGAGGTACATTCTTTCTTAATCTGCAATGCTGTTGTAAATGTAAAACGTTTTTTTTTTTACACAGTTCCTATGAAGGCACTGCTTGAACGAGCAAAAAGGTATAAGTCATTTTAATTGGAGGACTTGTATGAGTAGTGATTACTTTTTTACATTGAAATATGAGCCTACCTTACCCAGAAGGAAACGTTCTGGCTCTGCACAGGCTTTGCTAGACTGTGCATTCAAAATGGATTTCTTTCAGGACCTTTTCCTTCACCATAGTTCAGAATTGCCTTAGTGGGTGCTCATTTTTTGAAATACACCTGCCTCGATTACACACAGGGACACAAATTTTCGGGAGGCAACCTTGAAGAGCAACCAGTGTTGGCTTAACTCTGCTCCTGGTGATAAGTACAGAAATTATACCATTGATTTCAATGGGAACAGAATTAAGGCAACTGTAAGTACTTCTGGAAATGTTACCCCACATTTTTAATCAATTGTATTTAACTATAGCAGCTAATAAAAAACCCGAAAAGATAAATAATAATAATAATCAAGCTCTGACTGCTTAAAAAAAGGGAAAATCCTTCAAAATCATGTAAAATAAAACCCGCTTTTTTGTAAACAGGCAATACTGAGTAAGCAGGAATTCATGGTCCCATTTAGATGTTAATTGTACTTGAATATTTGAATGAGGATTGGTCATAGGCCTAAAACACCTAAATACTTTAAAATATGTTCATAAATAATCATTTTTTATACATCATAATTGTTCTCACTGCATGTCAAAAACATGGACTTCTGTATTCCCCAAGAAAGAAAAATGAGGGATTGTTTTTGCTTTTGGCACGAAAAAGTAAAAATAAAGAACTGGCACCACCCTTAAGGGAGTGCATGGAATACCACCAAATTGGTCTTTATTTGCCTTAGCTTTTTTTTTTTTACAAAAGTCTTAAATATAGGTTAATATGTAAACACTGTGCACGCACTGAGAGTTTGATCCTGGCCTGTTGAAATCAATGGCAAATTTCCCATTAACTGCAGTAGTGCAAGATCAAGCTCCAAGTTAGTACGGTACGTACAAGCCTAAGTCATTGAGGGAGCCAGGGATTCAGGAAAGCAAAAGCTCGGGTGCTCGTTTCAAAACCAGTTGCTGGAGGAATCAGACTTTGCGCCGAAAACCTTCCTGCACATGTTGGAGTTTTCTTGATGGAGAGGGTATTCATTACCTGCCAACAGTTCTGCTTTCCCTCTCCTTGCAGTGTACCGTCTGCCAGATGGTAGACTTTCATACTTAGTCACATAACGCCTGTAAAGACACAACATGGTGGTCTGGCATCAGCAAATTTAGGCAAAATCTGTACCCTGTAGGTGAGGCTAGAGATAAACACTTTACATACAGACGAGATTACACTTCCACAATGTGTAGGTATAATCAGAAGATGGTTTCGTATCTGCAGAATAACAGATACTGTTTTCTCAGGATTTCCTGGAGATCCTCGAGTTCTTTAATTCCTCTCAGGCTTGCCATCTTTTGGATCAGAAAAGCCTGAATGGAAATCTGGCACAGGTTCTGCAAACGTTATCGCCCTTAGGTCTTAGCAAATAGGGATTAGGAGGGAGTGGTAAACCTAGCTTCTCACATGGCAATGCAATTACTACTCTTTGGTTACTGGAAAGCATCTTTTTTACCTTATTGCACACTTGTTTAGCTTTCAGGAGAGTTGGTGCCTTAATAAAATATGGTAGAACACGATGGTTGCAAGAGCTTAACACACCAGGTACTTTTGTTGACACTAGTAAATAGCAGATGATGAAGAAAACTTTCCACTTCAGCTAGTTTGTGGCTATGCACTTCCTCTCTTAACAGTGTAATAGAGAACTACTGCTGGCAAAGTTTCAGATCACCATCAGAACTGACTGTACGCGAGGGGACCAGGGTCCTGCCACTTCAGTTAGTTTACTTGCAAAACCAGATTAGAAAATTGGACTAAAGTGCACATTCAGAGCAAGTTGTGATCTTCAAAAAGGTCCCTTCTGCATCTCAGGGGTGAGGGACAGGGAAGTACGGGATAGCAGAGGTTGGTGTGTATAACAGCCTACACTGCACCTGATTGCGTTAGGCTGCAGTTTGGCCTCTGTTGTTAATCTCTCGTGGCTGTGAACACCAACAGTTCCAGATTCAGCAGCTGGCTGGAAGGATGCCTCAGAAATTGTGTGCTCTTAGTTCTTACCTGAATGGAGACTCGACTCTGTCCATCTGCATGCAGACTAAAAATGGGTACTGTGAAAACTGCACCGTGGAGATGAAGTCTAATGTCGTTTCTACTTCCAAAGTGGTTTCCATACCAGTTTTTACAAAGAAGGAATCCACCTCGGTGTTACCAGCTATGAACATGGCTACCCTGCAAATAAATTCAGGCATTACAATTAATTCAAAACACATTAGGAAAGAGGAAATTAAATTGCAAACAGCCCTACCATCCACACATAAAAACTGCCCTCAAAGGAGCCTGTTCTTCAGGTAAAGGTATATAAATTCAGATGAGACCAGTGGGAACTGGTATTACCCAGGTAGAAAGGAAAAGAGAAGCACGAATGTTCTCCTGTGCACATAACTCTTATTTAATTTTAACTCATCTGCAAGGTCTTTTATATTTAAATTCTTCTCATTGAGACTACCAGGGCTCAGGAGCCTGAGCTCTCTACAGCTATAACACGTGCTGGGAGTATCTCACCGGTTCTTGACGTTGGTTTTGGATTCCCTGTACCACAGGCTGAACTCCATCCCTCCCGAGATGTCGATGGCCAGGCTGCCCAGGAACTCCGTGCTGGCCCTTGGCCCGGACTGCAGCTGAATCTCCTAGAACCATCAGAAAGCACAGGTAACCCCCCCGTTACTGACCGCAGACCTCTGGTTTCCTTACTCCCTTTTGTACTGCGATCACACCACTTGTCATTTTGCAGGAACAAAAAGGAATAGAGGGCTTTTCTGAAAGGGTGGACAAAACACCCCTGATGTACCTCGCTCCCTAGAAAATGGGATGAAGCTAAGGCGAGGTGCCTTGCATCCTTCCCCTCTCCCCTGTGTGCCAGCTGGCATAATTTCCGCAAGGAGTATCGCTGCAAGGAATATCATGGACTCTGTCTCCAAGAGCTACCAGGCAAGCCTCCCGGAGGCTCTGCTGGCAGTCCAGCTAAGTCAGATTAAACTCCTCGCTGGAGCCGCAGCAACGGTGCAGTGCAGTGTGACTTTGTCAGCACACCCGAAGGCAACCCTGTACTGGCAGTAGGATGCAAAGTGCTGCAGGCAGTCGTGCAGTGTGTAGTGGCTCCAAACTCACAGTATGGCAGGAATTACGTCTTCAGTGGCTGGGTGGCCAAACCCATAAGCTAATGCTCCTTAATTGCCACTGTGAATTTGCATTTAATGCATTTTCCATCAACCATCAAGTGTGCTCATGGCTTCTTGAAACCTCTACGGCTGGACTGGAAACGCATCACGTGGAGTCTGTTTCGGAAGTGATAATATAGCTCAGGGTCATGGCAGCTCATTACTTTTAAGTTTTGACACACAGCCAAGATTTTAAGGTTCACTCAGCTTGGCAATCTAACTCACTTTATATAGTTGTCCTGCTTCCCTAAGAACTAGTGGATTAATTCACTGTTTTAAAAGAACCATTAATTTGGGAAAAGTTTATTTTGATCATGTCCCTCGCGTACAGGACACTTTCTCCTCTCTCCTAGCTGGTTTTCTCCCTTCTCCCGGGTTTCTGTGCCTGTGGTATTCTCAGCACCTGTAATGCTGCAGGCATTTGTAGGATGTGTAAATACCCAATTTCCTTCCCCTTTTTGATGTCCAGGCACCTTAAAAGTCTCTCTTCTCTTCTTAGCTATTCAGTAGCCCAGTGGTTCCAGCTAATGCTGTCCCAAGATTTAAGAGAGAAGCAAGTAGAGACAGTCTGGCTTCCTAATCCCTATAGCAAGGAGCAACATTTGGGGAGGTTTTTATTCAGAGCATTAAAGTTTTCCTGCCGTAATCGAGGACTTGGATAATTATGGTGGCTGTATATGGTTACTTCACCTTTTAGGGTAAATAAACAACCTCTGAAACAATCTCCTTGGCAGAACCAACTTGGCAGTCAGTTGCTGCTGAAGTGGGCTTGAGATTTCATGTAAGAATGCAGTGGGCTGGCGTGGCTTATAAATGCAGCATGCCCCCAGCAAGCGTGGTCATATTGCGCTCTGATTTCTTATTTTCACCCAAGTAAAAATCATGGGTTGGAATTGTGGTCTTTCTGAAATCAAAGGGAGTTTTTCTACTGACTGCAATGGGGCAAGGAATACTTTCCCTGTCGGTCTGTTTAGGTGTGGAGATAAAGCTTGTTTTACTTTATTTTATTTTGCTTTTAATTGGGACTGAATTGGTGGGTAGCTATTAATGAACGAAGAGGTAACAATATACATTCTGGCAGAGACATATACACAGAACCAGAGGAGCAGATATTTTTAGATGCATTGTGAAATTGCACCTAATAATATTAGAGTAGGCTTGGTTTGCAATGGCTGCACAGTTTAAGGCTTTAAAGGCTACCTAGAATTAAGTCAATTTTGTCACTGAAACCAGCAGAGACGCTAAGGACTACTTGTCTTGTGTTTTACTAGCTCATCTATTTCCTTATTTAGAGCTCAGCCCTGTCCTTCGCCTCATGTGCAAATCCAATCCAGGCTGATGGGAGGTGTAAATCACAGGGACCCAGCCTCCTCAGGAGCAGTATTTTCCTTTCCCTTTCTATTTTAAGCTTTGTGTGTCATTTGCAGTGGAAAATGTGATCCGAAAGATCAGAATCGGTAGTTTGTTACTATTTAAAATGCTGAAACATGCTATGTTTCAATAAAAAAAGTTTCTTTATGTACTGCACTGACAGTGCTACTGTATGCAACGCAGAGATGGCTGAAACAGGCACTTCTTTGGGAACTGGTTATCTTGCACTGGGGTCTGGCTTTCAAATGGTTTCTCTGAACTATTAATACAGTATTTAATTTCTCTGTGCTTCTGGCAGGTGTGTTGCCTAGGAGAAATATTAACACTACTGAACTTTAATGCAGGTGACTTAGGAGTCTCAAAAACAGTTTTATGAGAGCTGTTTATTTTATAGAGGGAATTATAACTTCTGGACAGTTATTCTTAGCCCTCAAAAAACACTGTGAGAACTGGCAATGGCTCTAAAATATACTCTGATTTCAGTTTGTGGAGTTATGTGAGAAAAGATGTTACAGATGGTGGGCAGGAGTGTAAGCTTTAGAATCAATATTATTAACTTGGAAATCACCTCTCCAAAATGTGCCTATTGTGATTATCGCAGTTGTAAAGTTAATGAAAGGAAGCTATTTTCCAGGGGGGCAGTTATTTGGTAGATTTGACAGCACTTTGAGTCCAACTCAGTTTTGGTCTTTCTCTGCAAAATGATCCTTATAAACAGCAATAGGGAGCAGAACTTTTCTAATATTTAAAAATCACTTTTCTCAAAATCAGGCTGCAGCAATGCAGAAGTTGCAACTCAAATATTACATAAGTTCTTTTCTGACAATTCAGTTGCCCCATTTTTAAGTTCCGCTCTTTGCTTCTAAGCCATCCTTTTGATGTTTGATCTCAACTGCGCTGTCTGTATCTTATGTTTGTTTTTTGCCTGTTCTGAAATTGCGCTGCGGCCAGCTGTGGCACACTGAGTTTTGGTATCATAGAATGAGCACTGTTTCCCATGTCTGGATTTCTTCTTTGAAAGAAGATAAATCTCTGTTTGCCTTGGTTGGCTACCGTATGACTTTGTAAAGGGGCTTATGTTCTGGGCAAGCGCTGTCCCATGGCCAGGGAATGTGGAGGTAGTACTCAACCATCAGGCAGCTAGATTAATTATGGCTCTCTTGCACTGTTTTTCCTCAGTTCCAGTGTTACGCCCTTCACCTTCCATTCTGACAGTGTTTTCTGGTACAGTTGTAATCACAGTTCAAGAACTTGACAGGTTAAAGCATTTCTAATGAAGCTTAACGTGGTTATGTGGAAGTGCCCAAACCGTGTTGATGTTGCTGTTGACCTGGAACGTAGCTGTAACGCTGTTCTTAGAAAGGTGTGCTGTGTTTAAAACGCAGCTCAGCCTGAAGCTGCGTTCAACAATGTTTTAAACAATTTTTGCCTTTGTGGGGTGCAGAGGTAAGAACAAGTGCCTTTTTGGTTGTGAACACACACTTTTGGTTGTGTCCACTGCTTGAGTCCCAAATTGCTTAGGCAGCAACTGTGCTAGCGGCAACCCAAGAGAGAAAGCAGGGTGGGATCCCATCTCATCACACTGCTGCCCAGGCTTCCAGAGAGTCAGTGACTGACTGAAAATATTACACCCTGATACTGTTAAAAATGGCATGCAGTCCCAGCCCTGGTGTGCCCCAGACTTTTGTGAGGTTCTCCAAAGACGAGAAGCGGAGAATCTGCTGGCTGGCAGAGCTCTCGGGGTGCCCAGCCAGCTGATTCAGCCAGGGTATGTATGGAGCTTGGTGCATGCACAGCAGTTGGAAATATTTCGTTCTGTAAACACCATGCTCAGGACTGGACATGATTACCTTTCTCACTTCTGCAGTCTGTTTGTTAAATAGGTCATGGTAAAGTTTTTGCCCATAATCTGCATGTGAACTGTAAAGCATTGCTGGAATGAGCTTTAGTTTGCCAATTTGTGCGCTACATGGGAAGCCCTCTAGACTTACAATACCGTTATAAAGGGGCTGAGCTGAGTTCAGGATGGGGACAGCTGTCATGTGCAGGGGGTGTTTCTGTGTAATTTTGATCAGAGTGGATTTTCTCATCTGCTTTTGGCATTTTCTTTTGCCAAGAATTAAAGGGGAAGACTAAAAAGTAAAGTTTGAGCCTGCAGATGTTTCATGAGCTGAGTGCTGCTGTTAAATCCACAAGTTCTAAGGAGATCCCTGCTTGGGAAGCACAAAAATATCAAACCAAATGCTGGCCCTCCACTTTCAGAGAGATGTCTAGATTTTTAGTCCTCCAATAATACATTATGTAGCTGGTTAGATTTGTATAGACCATTTGGGGTGACAGTTGCATAAAACCCGCGTAATCCTCATTTTAATTCCTGGATTTGCCTAGCAATAAGCATTTGAAATTTGGACCTCTTAGCATTGTTCTTTGAAGGTTAGTTATCTGGGAAAGTCTGAGAACCAGTGATTCATTCATTCAGTACCTGACAGTTACTGCCTAACTGGATGTAAGGTCTCTGGACAACTTGTGAAGAGGAAAACTTAGGTGATCACATGTGACAATACTGTATTACAAGAAACTGTGGGAGGGGAGGCCATAGCTGATAGCAATATGAGTTTTCTACAGGATACTCAGTTGGATTTGCTTTTTTTCAGTGTTACTTTGTTTTCTAGAATGATATGTGTTCTCACCTTTGTTCTAGATTGCTTTTCATGTAATTTCATTCTGTTGTTTAATACCTGTGACTTTTCTATTGCTCCCATAGTAAGAGAAGCCTATGTAACATTGATCAGGTTTATCAGCATTGAAAAGAGAGAAAATAAGATGTCCTACAATAATGGTGTGGGGGAGGGAGCATCTGTGCTTAAGAGACAGAAAAAGAAGCAAACAGTGTGCTATTAGTACCTGTGAGTAATCTGTCAGGAGAATAAGTCCTTTCACCACGCTAATGGGATCTCCAGTTGCCGAGAACATTTTAGACATTAAATCAGCATACCCTTGGAAAAATGTAACTGGCCTGAGTTGGACATCGAACAGAATGGCTGACATGCCAGCAAAGGAGTCCAGGTTTTCCTCGCCTTCATCAGGAGTTGCAGCTATTATGGACTCTAGACCTTGAGCTTCAATCACCACCTAAGAAGCAACAGTGATACAGAATCAATGAAAAAACTCTGACTGACCTGGGCTATTAACAATCCTACACATTTTCTTAATGTCTGAGAGCCTAACTGTAATTTACGTAGTTGTAGATGAAAAAGTATGAGGTTAAGACTTAAGGGAACGAGGTAGAGCAGCTAGAAAAATAAAAAATAAAATAATCTCACAGTTTGTTTTTTTCCCTTCAGATGCAGGCAGACTTTGCCCACATGCAGCTCACAATCCCGAGCCTACTTTTCTTTCAAACAAATTTTCCTTTATTCATATGACTATTTTCCTCAGACATTTGGGAAGAAAACCCAAAGATGTTCCACTGCGCAATTTTTGTCCTGCAGAAATTTAGGAGGATTATAATATTGAAGGTAGTTGCCAACATTAAGAAAAGGCCAAAACAGAAGCATCTTTTTTAAATCTCTTTGATTCGTACATTTGATCTACTCCTTGTATTTCCATTCTATGTTATACCCGAAACACAGGACTTGATTTTACAAACTCACAAAGCTTTTACTGATTACATCAGATAAACAGTATAGCCTTTAACCAGAGACAGAATCTGATATATGATACAGAACAAAACACCTGTCTTTTGGTTAGGGCAAACGTGTGCCTCATTGACTGTTGTGGGTTTCTTTTTCCCCTGTTATTGGCTTGTTCTCTGCCCAGTGCAGCAAACCTTATGGTCTTAAGCATTAGCTGAATTGATCTAGAAGCTATAAGAAGAGTACCCCATACTGGCTTAGTTTTTATGTATAGTGTGGCAGTTACCTGGCTGGCATGAAGTTCAGCATTTCTATCAAAAATACGGATGTTCATGTTACTTCTCCTTAAAATGCCAGAGCCTGAATAGAGGATGTCAAGGCTGTACGTGGATGATATATCAGGACCACCTTAATTAAAAAAGAAAGAAGGTACCTGTGACTAAACTAGTGGATTAATCAAATGTTTGGGAATACAAACAGGGTTAAAAGGCAGTTTCACGGTTACATACGTGTGACATAGCCAGAGTAGGCAGAGGAAGAGCCCATCTTGGAGAAGCGATCATAGTTATGAGCACGCATGTCCTTCAGAACTTGCTGAACTGTTTTGCTGTGGTATTTCAAAACAAACAAACAAACAAAACCACAGAGACACAAAAATGTTACGGTACCAAATGTATTACTGTTCTGCAGAAATATCAAATTTGAGAGAGGGTGAATTTCCCAGTAGGAAAGAGGGTCTTCAAAACCCTCACATCTTCCCACTAAAAATCTGCCCTAACCCAGAGTCTCTTTTCCAATTTCAGCTACTCCCTGCAGTCATAGGTAGGAAGGCAAGCAAAGGTCTTGCTTGAAAATTAATGGTGTTGAGAAGAAGACATATTTTTATTATTTTCATTCTAGTGCTGTGATGTTTAAAATTTTTCTGCTTCACTGGTTCTTAAAATATAAAAGCAAGGGCCCCACTGAGACAATTAAGACCGACAGATGACATTTCTTACAGTAATGCAAGTTAGGTGCCTAGTTCTTATTTGTACCTCTGAAAATGTGAATAGCTATTAAATGAATGTCATTGAAATGCAGAGATTTATTCTGAAATATCAATACTTAAAAGTGACACAAAAATCAGGAGTCCTTTTATACTGTCCTTAAATTTTATAGTAGTAATTAATGAGACCCTGTGTGTTCTTTGGGTTTCTGCAAAGAAGTAAGGATGAGCTGTATTTATTTATACTGAACTTAATGTACCTTGAAGGCATTTCAAAGTGAAGTATATCTTGGATCATGGAGAGCATGTACTTGTTCATTTCCAGAGGCAGTTCACCAATGGAGAGCAGGATGTTTTTCACTTCCATGTAGGATGGGTTACTGTTTAAGATGATAGCAGCTGCAGTGGTTCGCACTGTCTTTTCGTGGACTTTACGATTCTGGTGGTATATCCTGTTCATTGTTTCCTTCACCTGGTCAGGAAACAGAGTATTCAGTCAGTGCTCACACAGATGACTGGGCAAAGTACAGATTGGAATCTCGTTTATAATATCAGCTTAAGCTAGCTCCATAGTAAAGGGTAATACATAAGGATATATTTTCAGCACCCTGTTTTTCATGGTCCTTTTGGAATGTACGAGACATGTATAGCTCAGTGACCACATGAGCAAGTGGGGCATCTGCTATGTTCTCTCAGCCACAGTCCAAATACAGCCTTCTACACTGGTTTTCACAGAGGGGCTGTAAATAAGTAGGAGCACTAAGATCAAAATACTGTGGCAGTGGTAAGATCAAGACAGAGATTTCCTTGACTGTTAAGGGAATATGTACTTTAAAAAAATCAAGAATCTTGTGATTTTAATTTTCTAGAGAGTGCCTGTGGTGGCCTCATGTCCCTGAGAAGGTTGTGACACATCTTTGTTACAGATAAATCCATGGAGAGCCATGTAGCCCCACTGACAGAACGGCCTCTGGCATGTTCATTGCAGAGCAGCACCCTGACAACCTCAGTCACAGCTGCCAGCAGTAGGTATGAAATGGGATGCAGGGTAATGCAGCAAAGGCAGGACCTCATGTTCTGCTATTTTGTATGTCTTCTTTTACTCTTGGAGGCTGCAAGGTAAGACACAGCTATTTTACCCTTCTCTTACTTCATGCATTCTCCCTGGCTACGTGAAAGCACAAGAAAGAACAGGGGTTACGCAGGTGCCCAAGTGTTCCTAATGATGTCTCCTGTACATCACAGAGAAGGCAGTGCTCTTGTGACGGGAGCCCAGTTTTCCCTGCAGGCTGCCTGCCACCTTCGATGGCTATGTGTGACTCTGGAGCCAAAGGCTGACTAGCACTGGCAGACTGGGAGCTGGGATTTGGCAAGCAGGAATGTATAGAGTTTTCTGGCTGGGACTGACAAATGAACTCTTAATTTATACTTTATGTTTAATACAGTCTCTTGCACTTCTTTTCTTGGGCAGTATATTTTCTTACCTCTTTGGTGAGAAAAGAAGGATCATATCTCTGTAAGGCAGTGGCAGCAACATTGCTGATGTGCCCTTCTTCTGACTCGGCGTACTTCAGAAGCAGTGGAATTGCTTCAGGAAGGAGTGCGTTCTTCAGTGCCAGCAGGTACATCCTCACATTGTCATCTTTCTTAGCCTTCTCGAGTCTACTTAGAATCAGCCTTTTGGCTTCCACAACAGCCTAAAGAAAATCAACAGCATGTTTAAATGGTGATCATACACCTACCTTTTCCCCTCGTAGAAGTAGGAGGGGCAGGGCTGGGTTCTAGCACATTTTTGTTTCAAAGCATCACTGCACAGGGTTAGCAAAGGTGTCATTTGTAAACTGTATGTCGATGCCTTCCTTCAAGCATAACCGGAGTGGCTATAGCTACAGTGACACCTGGTCCATGGATTTATCATTTGCTAGCTGCTCCTGCCCTGTTTCAGGGACTTCACAGGTCTTATTTGCGGGGCCAACATTTCCCAACAAAAAAAGACAAGGGAAGTGTTCCTTAGTGCTTCGTAACATAATGTTATAAGAGTGCTTGGCAATTAACAGGGGAAGGAAAAAGGGATTCCTAAGGGCCGTTCAGGTGCTCTGTGTCTTTTCAGCAGCGTGCTGCAATCCCGAACAGCACAGATCCAGCAGGCTGCAGTGCCTTGTCTGATCATCCTCACCCTCTATCACCAGCATCTACTCAGTCCATGGTCAAGGTGATAGCCTTCCTCCTGGTCTGTTCTATGCATGTTTGGGGCAGAGTTGAGTACTTGAACCAATTAATTTTCTTCACAGAGCTGAAATAACCTAAGGTGATTGCAGATATTAAATAGATCGTGAGTTCGCCAGTGTTTGAGGACATGTAAAGCTTTTGGACAAGTGAGCAAAAGTACTGCTTCTGCTGACAGACTAGGCAGTGAGAAAAAGTTCTGTCAGACAAGGGCAAACTGGGAGAAATCCACAGAAATGGGAAGAGACCAGATTAAAACCTAAAGCTGACAAAGTAGATGTCATTATTAAAAAAAAAAAAAAAGTCCTCTCTCTATCAAACATAGGAGTTTATGGGCTTATTTTAAAACAGAGGGGAATATGCTTCCCGTGTCTCTCATGCTCTCCCAGTAACATCAGCAGGGATCACTCACGTGTGTTGCAGACCAGAATTTGGCCAGCAGTGAAGAGCAGATACTCACTGGAAGCTTGCAGCCTTCTCTGTCACACAGCTTTCTGATGAGCGCTCCCATGACAATGACAAGAGTTTCTCTGATTTCTTCATTCGCGATATCACCCTTGAACTTAGCCTGTTATGCAAAAGCAATGCTGTTAGTCTCTCTGTCTAAATATGATGAACCACAGTCTGTAGTGGGCTGAATACCCTCCCGCATTTCCTGTGAACATTAGTGCAATGCAAAGGCAGTGATGACCACAATGGTCTGGGCTCAGGCTAAGCAGAGCACTGCTCTATCATTACATATAATAACTGACTGCCATTTTTCCCTTGAGTTACATTCAGTGTCTCAAATAGTAGATTCATTTTGAAGCTATGTTTAAAAAAAAAAAAAAGAGTATTAAATGGTTACAGGACTTTGATAAGGCAACAATCAAACAACCTTCAAATTGTTTTGCTAACATTCAGAATTATGTTTGTTTTCCAAGTAGTAGATATTGATAACATTTTACAAAGTAAATAGACTTTCAGTCTGGACCTACGAATTTTTGTTGTTTCCAGGCTATATGCTGCTGGCACACTTAAAGGAAACCCTTGAAGGGGTAAAGAAAGGAAAATTGGAAACGGCAACTGTCATTTCTTCTTCCCTTCCCCTTTGACAGGGATAAAGCTCAAGAATATTAACTACGTTGTATTTGTTTTGTCCTTTGACTTACAGTTAAAGATTTCAGGAGTATTTCACTGGGGTGAGAAGCAAATCCACAGGCATACAGGAATCGCTCCTGCAGGGTAGAAGTGCTTGCATCCTTAAAGTCAAGAAACTCCAGTATGGCCTCCAGTGATGCTAGGGTCTGAGCAGAGGTTACGGCATCCACTACCTGCGGACTACAAAGAAGTGGAAATGAACATATCATTGTAATGAGCTAGAAAATACTGAAAATACTTTGCTGCATATAGAAAGAAAGAAGCTAATGTGCTGAAAGATCTCTTCATTGCAGGTAAGAGACAAAATTTTTTACTCTTGTTGGGAAAAACTGTGTCTCTGAATTCTTCCGCCTCAAAATGGTAGATGAACTCCAGAAATTATTCATATCCATGGATACTACTAATATTTGAATTTATGCAAATATAGGATCAAAAAAGTATTAAAAAACCAGAACTATCCAGAGTGCCTTAAAGTTTACAGGACAAGGTTGTAAATGGAAAAAAGTGTTTTATTTCTACATACACAATGGCAACTAGAGAACAGGCTATGCTGCCTGAGTTGCTCTCAGGTTTATCTCTATTGTTAACAACTGCTATAATTTGTTTGAAAGATCCTGACTGTAAGGTGGGACTCAGAAACGCTTTCCAACTGCCAAGTCTAGGTGCACATGCTGTTCATACCCAAACTCTAATACTAGGACAATATCCAGGGATGAACCATCCCCTTCTTTGCTGTATTTCCATTTGAAGGAAAATGGGCAAGTCAAGAACAAGTTATAGAGTGTTTCAAAACAAGCAGTTGGGATGAGAACCTTTGGGTAAGCCACAAAGCATGTTTGCCTTGCATTGTAGATACAATCTTGGTGGCTGAACAGTGTGCTGCAAATATATTATACTACAAAAACAAACACAGCTTTAAAAAAAAGATCCTTTTCCTGTAGATAGTACTGAATACTGTTTTTGCACTGCTAGGACATCACCAGTAGAACTGAATCTGTTTGCATGCCATTTGCCCTTCTGCAGTTTTAAGTAACTTAAACCTTTTGAAAGCTTGTTCATGATGACTTACAGAAGTTCTTTATTTTCACTTCTAATAATCTGCAGTATCTCCTCTTTCGTAGCTTTTCTAATATTCTGAATGAAGGACAAAAAGCTTCTTGCTGCTTCAGCTTTGGAAAGTTTTTCAGGGTACATATGTTCTCTGATGCTCTGCCAGTGTTCAGAAAGCTGTAAAATAATTCACAATTATGTCAAAACTCGCAGATCATGGTTTCTCAAAATCAGACTTACTAAATGCAGATATGTGGGCCAGTTATTGCTCATATTAGCTGAAATCCAATAGATAGCTGATCCTTTAGTTAAGTATTATTTAATTTATGATATCCCAGCACAAATGTCTTTGAAACCTTTCTATAGCTGTCTCTCTTCCAGCACTTTAGTATTTTCCTAATAATGTACATTGCCTTAAATGCATTCTATTTTGGAACAAAACATCATTATTTAGATTGTAACTGGAATAAGATGAATTCTCTCTCTTGCAAATTTACTGCGCTTTCTGGTGAATGCAGTGCTTGCCTTCTGTTCTCATTTTGTCCTAAGTATTTTATTTTTGAGTGGAAGATGCACAATCCCTAGTTCACAAGTTAATAATATTTTCTTAGAAGATGGTAATTTTGTAAGTGGTTTATGTAAGTAATTCCCATTTTTTATTCATAAACCTTCATGAGACGGGGAGGGATTTGTGGTTACTGTACAAACTGATAGGTAAGATGGTATTAGAACAGGTATCAGCTTCTTCATATGTTGTTGCTGTATTTATTCCACACACCACGTTTGTGACCTCAATGAGCCAACATGGTACCAAAGCACCTATATCTGTCCTTCCAGATACACTCCCATAAGAAACTGGTGCAGGTATTTTGACCTTTCCTCTCTCACTTGCCTTTGCCTCTGTTATCTCAAATTATCGAGAACATTCCTTGGTGAAAACTCAGCTGTTCTTTGCAGCAGTGTTTACTGCAGTTTTCCTGAGTGAGAAATAACACTAGCACCCATTTGACCTTTACTAAAATACTTCCCCTCTTCATGGGTTTTGTATTAGGCAATAACACTTGAACCTGCCGGCAAATAGAAGTGTCATCCAGCAGTACAGAGTGCAACTTCCATCAACTGTAACAAACAATAATTAGGCAACAATGATTGAGACATAGGATATTTCCTGGGGATTAATGACCAGCTGGGAGGAGCTCATGTTCTGAGGCACAGATGGGTCTGTTAACCTCAACGGGTGATTAGTGCTTAGCACCAAGGTCAGTGTGGCTATTATAAGCTGAAATTGGATAAACATATGGGGCACTTTCTATTCCCCCTGTTGAAGTTGCACCATAGCCCGGCAAAATATCTCTAACCTCATTAATCCTGTATTTTCTCCTGTGCAGAGTCCAGCTGTGTGGACTGCTCTTAGTCAGCTTAGCCCATACCCTAGAGACGAGCAAGGTGGGAGATACGAGCTGGAGCCATCTCAAGCAAGAGTGGAGACCAAGTCTTCCTCTTTGGGGGATGCTCTAACCATTCAACTGCTACAAGAAGCAGCTGCCGTCTCCTGCAGTGACCCATGACTTTGAAAAACAGCAGTCACAGTTGACTTTTGCAAGGGGCCTCGTTCTCCTGATGTGAATGTCAGGCAGTTTGGATTGAATAGCCCAAGGATTCAAGCACAGATGCAGGCACTTCCAGATGGCAACTCAGCCGAGCTCCGACACAAATCTCTGTCTCTCTGACAGAGAGATCAGACAGAGTGCTCTCGTGGGCACTCTAGGAAAATTCAAGCCAAACCAAGAGGCCCTAAACTGAGCAGGAGCTGGTTTTGAATATCAGTGCCTGACAGCTGCTTTACCAACCTACAAGGTTGGCTGCACAAGACAGAACAAAACCACCTCAATTTCAGAAGAGGCAAGCATCTGTTCCTGTAGGAACCATGAGCATAGAAAAAATGTAAGAATCATGAGCTCTTCTGAAAAGAGCATGCATTATGATGTCTAAACACCAAAATCTAGGCCTAAATTTAAATGTAAATGTTGGCCATAACCTCACAGAAGCTAATGCTGCCATCTGTGAAGTGGGGATAGTAATGGTTATTTTACCAAATTCATAAAGATAGAGATAAGACCTGTTATAATTTAAAAAGGGTTTTGAAAACATAAAACTGTAGGGCATACCATGTCAGCATGGCATTAATGTATACTATGATATATAAGTACCAAATGTTATGTTGCTGCTTTGGATACAGTGTTCTGTTTATAGACCCCATCTTTTCATAGCAGTTACTGTAAAATACAGTGAGAAAGCAGGACTTCATTCTCATCGTGCCATTAGGTTTATAATGACATAGCTCAGACCCCAGGCAGTGCTCTGGAATTATACCCTATGTTTGTTATCTTGGTCTGGAAATTATCTCTATAACTATTATGACAAACTGGGTTCCAAGTGACAAATTGGTCAGCACAAACGCCGATGGGCAGAGTCAGGGAAAAAGCACCTGTCCCTGCTCTGTTTAAGATCCCTTGATGTTCCCTGCTCAGAACTGCTCCAGCACGCATGCAGCATCATTCTATTTCATTTCCCCCAACGTATTTTTTTATCTTCTCTGTGGCTCAACAAGCATTAGACGAGATAAATTATTACAGTGCAATGCTACTTCCAAATAACTAGCACAGGTTCCAATATAGTAAGGTGTTTGTGCTCATAAGGAGTATCTCTGTAGGATTAAAATTATGTGTGCTGAATAGAAGCCTTATCTTGCTTATCAAAAACTGACAGAGAATAATAATCTTTAAATTAATGTTCCCATTCACTGCTAAATTCCTTCCACAATGGTAATAGCATTGAAACCATTTGCTAACAATCATTGTAGCAATTTATATTAGTTTATGATGAATTGCATCAGTAAAACAAAAGATGATGCATTTACAGTACCAAGCTCTTAGTTGTCTTTAAATGTCTTAAATATAAAAAAACAAGATAATTTTTTTTTCCAGGGAAAAAACTACAACAGTATTGGACTTGCCAAGAATACTAAAGCCCCATTTTATACTTATAAAATACCTACAAAGTCTTTTAAATAATAGACTTCTTCAGGGTCAGGCAGTAAGAAGAGACTAGATATATTACCAACAGATGTTTAGCCTGCCTAAGGAATGGCTAACTACCTTTAATTTCTAGGAGTAGTTCAGCTCCTCTATGACAGAATTTTTTATAAACACTGGCCAACCATCTTAAAAGTCATTTCCCACTCCTTTACCCAGAGGAAATAAGCTCCTGCCAACTCAAGGTTGGCAACGATGAGATAAAACAAAAGGGTGTTGTATTTTCTAGTGGTCTTGAGGAATACTGCACTCAATCTTTGAAAGAGAGCAAAAATGTTGGTACCTTTAGAGGTAGATCTTAAAACACCCTTGTGTGGTGGAGCACCATTGCATCACTACCGTGCTCCCCACTCCGGGGTGTATTTTGCATTGCTACGTTAGACCTCTCCTAGTGGGCTGCTTGGACAGAAACTTCTTTCACACTTGTTCTGCCTAGCCAACCAACCTGACGTCCAACGAGCCTGTGTTTACTTACTGAAGGACACTTTTTGCATTCGGATTTGACTGGCTCTGCTACTAGTGGCACGGCAACGTAACTGGAGTCCAAGGTCTTGATAACACTGGCAACTTGCTTCCCAGCAATCAGTCCAGGGCCAGCTTGTACTGACTTCAGTTCCAGTCTCTGCCTGTGCATCCATACAGTGAAGACACCGTTAGCGCTCAACCATTAGAGCAGAAATGCAGAAATCATGGCAAGAGGAAACAAAAAACCCCTCCACAGACCAAAAATATAGAACACAGACTTATCGAAGTCTCTTTTTAAAATGTTCAGAACATGGCAAGTCTATGGCTTTTTTAAGGTAACAGAAGTATCTGATACCAGCAGAATTACTGCTAGAAGTATGTGGCATAAAATACCTAAATAATAGACTTTCTAAAGTATGAATTTATAACACCTGGTAAACAGCCTTCAGTAACCATATATGTTCTGAAATATTTCATATTTTTGTTCACAAGAAGATCTGGAAAGTCAGATTTTGAATGTACATTTTTAAAATATCATAATACTAAGGAGATGCCTGAATCATTTAGCTTGTGCGGTATCTCCGAACTGTCAGTATTTTTGAGACTGGAACCTAACACAGATCTAGGTTTCACTGTTGTTTCCTTTCTATGCAGCAGATTTTGTTTTCTATACTTCTGAACCTTCACATGCTAGAAATGGAGATCCATTTGAAGTATTTCTCAAGAAATGAGAGGACACAAACGGAACACCTACAGAAGTAATGTGTTGCTTAAAATGTTTTGGCCAATTCCAGCTGTTTCCATTTAATTTCTTATGAATGTCATTATTTATTATTTGCAGTATGGTAGAGACCTTAATCAAAGTTGGACTAGGTACCATACAGATACAAAAAAGACCTAAATCCTTACCTTGAGAGTTTAGAGCCTTAGGTCTTGATGCTATAAGACATACACATATAACCTGTTTATATTATTCACTATATAACTAGTGAACCACTAGTCCTGCTACTATCAATGACAGTCAAATTGCCCAACTTACTTTGAAACTATTTTGGCACCTGTTTTTCGTCGGGAATTCAGAAGCAAAGCATAATTTTCTTCTGCCTTAATGGATTTAATGAAACCGTCTTCCAGCACATAAATTGTGGCAGATGCGGCTTTTCTACTGACATCTAAAATCTGAAAATAATTAAAAAATAAACCAGAAAAAGGGCTGATCAATAAACAACAGAATAGGAAAAGAGCTCACAGTTCCACGTCGGGGCAAAACTCATAATGAACTAGAGTCAAATGAGGAAGGTGCGTGTGGGTTGAACAACATCTCAAGCTAAGCCTACAAACCAGGATCTTCCAGGTTCTCAAGAATTCCTTCTGCAACAAGAAGTCACTCATTTCTGCACCATGTGTTTCAAATTCAATACATACCAGAAAAAAAAGAGGGGGGAGGATGGGACGAAGTTATGAGCAGGCTGTAACTGAGAAAATGCCTGGTACTACATTTAGTTAAAAATACGCTTTAAATAAGATGAGAAGCTTTTCCAGGGAAATGTTTTGTAAATAAGATTGTCATGTTCACATTTGGGAAGCAAAGCCAGCCACCTTGCTTGATCTGTTTGTAAACAAGATGAAGTCTTTGTGGCAAGTGTGAAAATCAGGAACTCAGTCATAGTGTTAACGTGGTTTATTAACAGAGCGTGTGCTACCTTTGTACTTCTCTGAGCTGAGAAAGGTCAGTTTCCGACATGGAGAATCCCAGTGCCTTCAGCACGTGTCCAGCCTGCACTAAGCAGTAACCAGTTAGAAAGGCATTTACTAGTAGTGAAGGACCACTAAGGGCTCCAGTTACTTCTACAGCACATCTCCCACGTTACACCTGTGGATTAGGGAAGCCTTTGACCTTCCAGGCAAGCCTGACAGGGCTCTATTCAGGAGTCAGCATCTTGCCCAGCATTTATTGTGTAGACTAAATGCTGTGACTTAGCAGCTGAGAAAAAGGTTACAATTATCACTATGACTGTGACTGTATATAGTGTTTTCCTCTGAAGAAAAAGAAGCCTCACACTGATTAAAAATTCAGTACAGCCAGGACAAAAGTGCTGTAAATCTGCATAGAGACTAAAATATATTACGGATGAGATTAAAAAATTACGAGAATTGGTGTGCTGCACTTAATGTCAGCTGAGCCAAGGTGGTTTGCACAAGAGGAGAATCCATTTCCTGTTCTCCCCATGGGTACTACGTATGAAATTTCTACTAGTAATACTACAAAATTTACATGTAGAATTTGCTTTCTGTAATGCAAGAACGGACTTTTGAGAAAATGAGTAATAGCTATTAAGGATATATTTTTAAATAGGCAGAACAGATTTTATTTTGTTAAAGAAATCATACCTGGTTGTGGCTGGTAAATCCTTGTTTTTCTATTTCACAGGAGTCCAGGGCTTTTATTTTAGTCACCTGATCTTGCCGCACATGATAAGTAGTATTGCATTTGCCAGATATGTCCACCTTGAAAAAAAAGAGTTAGATTAGGACAATTGCTTGAATTTATCTTTGGAACCCTGGAACACCTTCCAAAGATGAACCATTTTCTCCACTGTTGGAATTTTTACATGAGATGCTGCACTGTTTGGGTTTATTTACCAGTTTTGAAGGTATCAGTGTTTCTAACTACTTGCTTTGGATAGCCGGGGTACTTTTCATTAGATGGCTATGAAGGAAAGTAACAATGTTTGTTTAAACAAAAAAAGTTAGGAAACACCTGGCAGTTGGCACTATACTTATGAATTTGAGTTAAATTCCAGCTTTGCTCATGTGGACAGATGTAAAAATTTAACAGTGTAACACAGGTTAAATGGATGCAGCTAAACCATTGCTAACTTTGTGTGGATATTCTGTTTGATTTAAAATGGCCTAATCCATTGAATTGAGTTTAGGAATCAACTGACTTTAAACATCAGTATAATCTCTTTTATAGTGACCTGGTTTAAGTTGGTATATTACCAAATTCTGCTAAATTGGTAAGAGCATTTTAAATCAAATGGATTTCACCAATTCTTTATGTTAATTGCAGCAACTTGGCTGGTGTCACCAAATATTCAGAAGGCTGTCTTTACATTCCCAACCTCAAAGGCGATCAAAGGGCTGATTTCTGTCACACTTCATTCCTTCTGAAGTCAGCGGGAGCCACAGGTCTACCTTTCAGGGCAGACCAGGCTCTGCCTGTTTCTCTGATGATTAGCTTGCCAGTAGAGCACCATACCTCACAGGTAGCACCAGAGTGCAGCTGTAGCTGGAAAAGGCTAGCCAGACCTCTCTTAATGTTTTGAGTAAAACCAGGTTCATTTTGATGTGAGTAGAAGTTTTTGACCTGTAGGAATAAAAACCAAGTATATAACAAATCTAGTTAAGTGAAAAAGGAATAGTGAGCATCCCCTCTAGAAAAACTCCCTTTTTTTTTCCTGATTGGGAAACTGAATTTGGACCTGTTGTCCTTATTTGAGCAAACTCCAGAGTCTGCAGGGCCTGCCAATAACACTACAAACCTGTTTCAGGCTTTAGCTGTACCTAAATACTGTTTCAGTGCAGTGAGCATCTTTCCTGCCTGTTAATTAGAGAGAATTTAGAAGGGAAATGGGAAACTACATAATTTTACAAGTCACTCATTTTTCTGCATAATCCTCAGATAATCCCTTCCCACACGCACATAATATCTGTTGCACTTTAATCACAGATTACAAAAACCCAGAATGAATCATAGGTAAAACACAGTTAGAATGACTTAAATGACGTGTCAAACACATCACAACCTTTGCACTTCATGGGTCAACTGTTGTTCTTGAGCCTTTCCTCTGGTAACAAGACTTTGCACCTCCACTTTACATTCAAGGTGCTTTAAAAGTGCACGTTTTTTCAGGAACTGTAAGTACAATCAGCGTGTTATCTCAGGGCAACCCTGGAAAGTGAAATCGCTCTGCCAGGGATGAAAGTATCACACCACAGAGAAATCATAAAAGGAGTGTACAGACCCTATTACCTGAGAAAAAGCCCAAGTTTTTAATACTACATCTCAATCTTAGCATGTGAACTGCTTAATGTACTGGGAGCAGATGTATTTTGACTGTGTTCTTCTGATACCTCTGTCCTCATGTGTACAGTTGGGAGCCAGTACTGTTCTGTTTCTTTTTATGTTGTGTAAAACTGATGACAAAGCTGAGTCTGAAAGTTACTGAGCAGGCCTGATAGCAGCTGCAATTCAGTAGGCTGAGCTGGCGGCCACGGTATGTGCTCAGTGCCTATTTACAGCAGGAGGTAAAGATCCTGCCGGGATAGGGTGTCACAGCCCGCACTCCCCTCTGCAGAAGAGAAAAGGGACTGTGACCTTCAACCTTCCTCCTTTCTCACTGCCCCTCTGCCCATGTCCCACCTGCCCACTTGCTCGGGCTGTGGAGGGGATAGCGAGGCTCTTGGCCTAATGCTCCCAGCCACAAGCAACAAGAGGGTGAGGAAGTGTGGAGAGGAGGCAGGAGCAGCCATGGCTCAAGCCTTGCCACTCCCTGGCCAGAGCAGTAGGCTGGGTACAAGGGGGCAAGTGAGCAGCTCCTCAGGGAAAAAGAGGGGGAGATGGATTTGCTTGATTCCTTTCCTGAGCAAGACTGGGACCCTGAGAGCTACAATTGGACATGGGTGCTCGGGCAGTGGGACAGTGCTTCGTTGCTGTCTCAGGGCAAGCTACAAAACCCAGGCACACACCAAAACACACCTGCTCACTGTCCCTTCTCTTCTGATTTTTGGAGACAGTTCCCAGTAGAGGAACAACATGAAAGGCTGTTTCAGTATCAAGCTCATTAACTTGAGACCACTGAAACTGCAGGTGACACTGAAGTAAATAAGCAAGCCAGAGAGGTGGGAAAAGCAGTCACGCTAAAGTGTTTGCTAAGGGTTTAAACTGATTAACACTGTTCCTCACAGACTCAGTATAACATCCATCATGACAAACTGTATCTCCTTTTCTGCCTTCAGACCTTGTATAAAATCCTGCCCTCACTGAAGTCAACAGCACAAATCTTACACAGCAATTCTGCATACATCTACATGTGTATCCGTATATTTGTGGCCAACCTGCTGTTTAGTTCCATACTGTATGGTGTTCTCAATGCACAAGAGGCTTGGGCTGGAAGGGCCCCTTGTACAGGTAAATTACAGTCTGTTCTAAACTGTTGCATTTCATAGAGAAATATAGGACATGATGGCATATTGAGAACTCTGAGAGGATAGTGAATTGGTAAATTCTCCAAGCCTGTAAGAAAAGATTTGTCTCAGATTTCCTCAGGGATTGAATTTTAAAAGACAGGGTCTTACTTTTCCACGGACTAGCTCAAGAACTATGGGCCTCTGTAAAGCTTCCAGATATTCTTTCCCGATGATCTTCTCTGTGCTTTTTCCTTTGAAGATGTTTTTAGCTGCTGGACGTTCATTCACATTTTCAACTTGAACATCTCTTATCTAGCAAAGTAAAAGCAGAGAAAATTCATGTAGAGAGCAGTCTAGCATTGGCTTGGGGTAGGTTGGATAGACTAAATCACCTCATACATCTTTTTTATTTCTTCATTTTTGGTTCTGATCATTAATCTTCCATGATTACTATGTCTATGTTTTCAAAAGAAACCAGCACTCACCACTGGGGAAATAAGGGGCAGAAAAACTCACCATAAAGCTAAGTACCAAACCCAGTTTGTATTTAGCAAATGTCATGATTTGCAGCTAGAACCAAGGACTTCAGACAACCTATTGCCCCTCAGATAGGTGCTTGCACACCAGTTGTTTGAAGCTATAGAAGCTGTATGAAGCAATTTCAAAATATAGGAGATATTCTGAAGTTCTGGCTTATGATGTTAGACATATTCTCATGAAGTCTTATTCTATAGGAATCAGCTTATCAAAGAAGCTGGTTTTAGTTGATGAGACTAGAGAAGAATAAAAGATTTAGCTCATCCTCTGAAAACGAGTTCTTCAAGATTAGATTAGCAGCTAGATAAACGCAGAAAAGATTGGGCATGTTTTAAATTGTGTGATGGCATTAATTACCGTAATCTTGATCAACTGGTCATCATCATTGTCAGGATTTCTCCATAAGAGGTTGACATCCACACCAGAAGAAATCCGGTAGCCTGCACTTTTCTGCAGTGATGCTTTCACCTGATCAACATACACTTCAGCTGAGTAAGCAAATTTATATAGCTTGTCATTATTTAAGCTTGGTCCAGTAGTGTGCCCTGTTTGGAAAGCAAAAACAGACAGTGTTTTAGAATTGACTAACTCACATAATCTGTCGTTTTCTCTAAAAAACACCTTTAGAAAAATTAAAAATTTAATTGTCAACAAAAGATTTATGGGACTGATCCTGCTACCCTTGATTACAGAGGCTGTCCCACTGGAGCATATCGGGGGGTTTTGTGAGTAAGTTGACACTGATCTCATATATTTAAGATAAGAATGTCCACAAAATCCTTTGTTCTCGCTCTACACTTAAATCAATAAAAGAGAGTCAAATTCTTTACTCTGGATATGTTAGCATTAGAAATTAATCCAAAATTATTTGCAACTCAAAATACTGTAATTAATCATGCAGTTTGTGTGCTTAGCAATTTGAAATGCACTGATGTAATTTGTTGGAGCCAACAGAAATTGTTCTCTGCATCTCTTGCGCATTTGTTGGGAATCTTTCCATTGAGAGCCTTGCCCAGGGGTGACATGAATGTAATTAAGACATTGGGAAAATATTTTTTAGATTAAATAATGAAGCCCTTGTTCTTTAAACTAAATAATTGTCCCCGTAGCTGTGTCTTGGCTGTTAATTGATGTATTTTAAGGGATATAAAAGTCAAATTCTAGCATAAATGCAATTTGCATATGCAATTTATGGTGCCATTTCCATCTGCATTAACAACAACTCAGATAGACTGTTCCCTAGGGATTCAGTTGCACTCTTGTTAGTATAAATTATATCCGTAGTATACAAATTACTTTTATTTTTCCTTTATAAAACTACTTACTACTACATCCTTTCCTATCTTCTCTTTCTCTTCTCTCAGGCACAGCCGTGTGGGGAATGTGTGGCACCAGTGTCACAACTCTCTACCCAGCCTCAAGCACAGGAATTGAGACCATGCCCCTAAAATCTGTGGCTAAGGAAAATCAATTTCTTCTTGAATACCCTTTAAATATTTTGTCAAGAAGGGTATACACAATATCCCTTTTCACTGCTTCCAAGGGCTTCCCTCCTCTGGTGTGTATGGCTACGAAGGTCTCTTCCACAGAAGAAAAACTGATTAAGTCCATTTGTAGAGGGAAGGGAAGGGAGGAGAAGCTGGCTGTACACAAAGTGCTGTTACATCTGTGAAGTAAATACACATATAGTGACCTTAGGTGCTATCTGTAAGCAGCACGGCACTAGCCTCTCACACCCGAATGCTGCACCACTGAATCCATTGGGAAATTCTCTATGGAGTTCAGGAGGTGCAGAGCAGAAACAAAAACTTCACAACAGAGTTAATCTAAGAAAAGCAAAGTGCTGTCCTCAGGGAGGTGCATCTCAGTCTTATGACAAGTGCAGGGGGAAAAAAAAAAAGAAGAAAAATCTATCAAAACATCTCAGACAAATTCTTAAGCATGCTGTAATGTAATCAGTGTGTTCAAAGTCCCTTGCAGAGAATCAACAGGCTATCTTGATTTATGTCATGTCCATCAGTGTTTTATATGACTCTGCTAACTAAATTTCAAATCACTGCATTGATAAAAAGGAAAACCAAAGTATTTTCTTATTTCACTCTCGGATTTTAAATCCCAGTTAGGTAGGTGCACAGTGTAGTTCCAACACGGCTGTACGAATATATTCTGCAGTGCTCAAAGAGTCCAAAAGACCCTTTTTTTAAGGTTTTGCTTGCTTTCTTCCCCTGTTTACTCAGATGTCATAGCAGTAGGTTAAGGTCAGCTTCAAAGAACCCTTCCTTGAGGAAAACGGCGACCCCACCAAGTTTGGTCTGCAAGTCGCGTAAATTGGCAAACCTACACAGAATTAAACTGGCTTATGCTTTACGCCAGCTGGAGATGTGGCACAGCAAGTTTGGTAATCCCAGGAGGAGCAGCCTGTTTGCATGTGAGAGCTCAAAGCTGTGACTACTGATTTTTTTGCAGGGAGACATTAATGTTGGCATAATGGGGCTCTTCTGATTTTGCATGTCTTGCGTGTCTGCTTCAAAACAAAGTCACCAAGAGGCGTACAGCCCTTCCTTCAGGCTTACTGTGAATTTCCTAGCCAGTTCCCCAACTCCCCTTACTCCTATCAGCTTTGAAGCTACATTGCCCTTGAGAGCAGAGGGTGCTCAGTGCCTGCCCAGAGATGGCTGCACCTTTCAGGGACACCCCTGGTTCCTTGCAGTACCTCGGAGCTGGTTGCTTCCTGGTTTGAAATGTCCTTCATTTGCAGCAGAAATAGCAGTGCTAATGATTTAGTATCAGCTGAGATATTATGAATGCCACCCACTAGGTGCTTTCTAAACACAGAAGGTGACACAGTCCCTTCTAAAGATAAAAGGTGGGGGAAAAGCACGTCCAAGAAAAATTATCTGGGTGCTGAGAGACATGTGTCTTATTAGTCAAGGTGGATGTTTGTGGTTTTGCTCCCTCTCTCTTTTCAGTTAAAAGCACCTTTCACCTATCCTCTTCCTTTTCCCACAGCTCAACCCATAGATCTTTTTTTCCTTTTGCAAGAGTTTCTTCCCTCTTCCTCACTTTTAGCATTTGCTTGTCCCCACATACAAAAGAGTTGTTCCTTCCTGAAGGAAACAGATGAGCAAATGACACAGCAGCTTCTTGTAAGTGTCGTGGAAGAGATGAATAATTGCAAAGTATTTCTGGGAGCTAAAAGAATATTAGGTTCTGAAAGCTTTCACCATTTCATATGTGGAAAACACTGCAGGATTCAGGGCAGAAGACGCCTTTAGTTGCAAGACTGGTGTCACTGACGGAAAAGGGTGAGCCAGCGGTGGATCATAAGAGAAGCAGCAGGGATGAGGCAGTACTGAAGGCAGTCCCAAGGAGTTAGCACTCACCCCAGTGGAAATGGGGAAGCCAAAAGAGACGATTGGATAGTGTGGTCAGTTTGAGAGGCAAGGGGGATATTGGTGGCCGAGGGACAGAGACACGGTGTCACTGCCCAGAAACAATATTCAAAAGAGCATAACTAAATTTTCATGCCATCTTTCATGAAGAAAACACTGGTACTATTTAAAAAGGAATATCCCCACGCCTTTCTGTTAGAAACTTTTCTTAAACCCTTCCCCTGCCTTTAGACACTCGTTCCTTTGTATTCAGCACAGCACTGGGATCCTTGCTGCCCGTACAGCCATTGCCATTTCAGCTGATGGCAAATGTTCCACTTACTGAGAAGGGAGGAGAGATGGACATAAAGACTGCAATCGGCCATGCTCTCTTGGGGTCAGAAGTGCCTGCTTTCAAGGTGGAGTGCATAACACATAGTTTGACTAGTAATGTTAAGTGTCTGTCATTAAGGGTAGCATGCCAAGTCTATAATTAAATCATGATACTGTATAATACAGAAGGTTACACTGCATGAGTAGAGACAGCTGTCAAGTCCTGTGCCTTTTATTAATACATATGGCATGCACAGCATGTGCATCTCTAACTACTTGCTGGCTCTACCTTCATAAATTATATTTGCCACTGTTTCTGATACCGGATAGCTTTAAAAAGCAAAACCCATCCACTTTGAAAATATTTTTCAAGTGGAACTGCATTAGGAAACTTTCACGTGTGCTGATCTAGCTGACTTAAGAAAAGAATATTCCTTCAATATTTCCAAAAGGCGGCATGGCCTAGTGGAAATGTAAAACACTCATCCTAATCCCAGCTCTGTCACTGAGGCACTAAGTGGCCTTTGGGCCAGCAATTTAGCTCTCAATCTCTCCGTACAAGAGATGAGACCTGGCAGAGCTGAAGGGAGGACTAATTAATGAGAAAATGCTTGCTCAGTACCCTGGGGATGTAAAGTTACAAGCAAATATTACCATACATCAAGATATTACGGAGAAGCTGGGCAGAGCAGACACCAGAAATGTGGCACGTTGGAATCTAGCCATAAAGAGACTTGGCAGTCTCATGAAATACACCCACGGGTAGAGGAACTGCCTGCAGACTTCTCTGCTTTATAACTCCTGTCGTAAGGGGGTACGGAGGTAGAGAGGAAGGTTGCTGCTCTGTGCTTACACAGATACAGTGTCCTGGATCCCCTGCAGGGAGCAGGAGGAGGCACCCATGAGAGCACCTCTACAGCCTTTTTAACAGTTTAACCTAGGATGGTGTGCTCTCCCCCTGCTCCTCATCATGATGAGGACATCCTCATTAAACTAAAAACAAGGTGTCAGCTCATGTTTTAAGGTTGCTGCTCCTGTAAATTTAATGTCAGGTTGTACATGAAGGGCCACTACTAAAGACACCTTTCCTTGCTTCATACACTGGTACTGCTGAAGTAGGCAGTCTCCAGATTTCATACCCTTGACCTTTGTCAGGACACCTGAGTAAAGCCCTGCTCCCAGGGCTTGTGCAGACATCCAGGTTTTCATGACTTATTGCAGAGCAAGCTCCCCGTGAAATTAATGGGATGCTTGTTACTGACTTCAGTGGTAGCTGAGTCAACTACTCAGAAGCTGAAACCTGGAGAGCCCTGAGCACTTCCTGGCTCTGCTCCACCACAGCACTTCTGTGTGTTTAACTTTTGAGCGTGTGAATAGTCCCTTTCAAGTCGGTGCCCCCACAGCATGTCCTGACTAAGCAAGGTCAAGATCCCCAGTCTCCTGGCTCACACTGCCGGCCCTGTGCACCTGAAAACATTGTCTCCTCCATCCCCTCTGCTGACATGAATGCTACAAGCACTTCAGCCTTTGTAATTACTAATGCATTTTGCATTACTCAAGGACGGACGAGTAAAGATGATCGTTTTTTGATGCAAAACAGATCTGCATATACACACTGGTTATGCCTTTGCTGAGCCAAAAGCTGAACCAAGCCCGGTACAGACCTACCTTTAACAGAGGCTGAGTAGGTGGAAATGATGCAAAGGAACAGCACGGTAAGAAGAATCATGCTGGACTCCCCCGCGCTGCCGACTGCAGCATGAAGTATGAGAGTCTCCGGGAAGTGAGCTGCTGAGAGTGGAGGGGTGCTTGCAGAGAGAGCCACCGGGTCGGCTACACTGTTTATCTAGATGTAGTAAAGGTCAGATTCCAAATTCCGTACTCAGGTACTAAGTTCATTGAAGGACTTCCAGTTAATTATTAAGAACTAAAGTAACTGGTGGTTTCTACCCCATTTTATCGATCACCTCAGCTTTCATTTTTGAATACTGAGCCCACACAGCCACATTTCTGAGCAGGGGAGCCCACCTCCAGCCCTGGCAGAACCAGGAGTTCCTGCCACTCCTACTCCGTCTGAATGAAAGTGCATTTGGGTCTGTTGCTGCCAGGGGCCAGATCCTGACCACTGTCTCCACTGTCTTGTATCAACTCTGTGAGCAACCCCAGAGGCAGATGCTTTTTAACCATCTTCCTGGAAGCAGAAGTACATGGGATTTATCAGTGCCATCACAAAAAGTGATGCTACTTCGTTACGGAGGCTCAGAGGCACTGTCAGTTCCTGCTATATTGTATTGTACCAAATAAATTCTCTTTCTTTGAGCAGCCCCAGCCCATGTATCATCGCATTGCAGTGGCAGAGGTTAGAGACTGAAAAGATGAGAGAAACCAGCGATTCTGTCCCACCTTGGTGAAGAGTACCTGCTTGGCTACGTCCGGGAGCAGGGCAAACCAAGCCCTCCTTTTCACCCTTATTTTCCCCTTTTCTCATGCTCAGTTCACAACCTGCCCTGATAAGCCCCAGACTGACTAAACCACATGCTTCCCCGTTTCCTCTAAGAGTAATTCCCAGGCCATCTCGCACTAAGCCTCTAGGCCACAGGGCTCACTAAAGGACCTCCTTGTCCCTCAGGTGACAGTGGGGCAGTAGGTCACCCCCTACGTTCCTTGGCACCCCCTGGGTGTCACAGCCTGTGAGGGGGCACCCTCTCCCCCCGGCATACGAAGCCTCCGTGGCTCTGCGGGGAGGGAGGATCTGGTCCTGCTTGTAGAGGAGGCACACCCATGAGCCATCACCACGCTCTTTTGCTCCACTTCCAGAGGTTGCTTTAACAAGACTGCGAGCTACAAACACCCCGACCGAACCAATGCTGCCCCAGGCTGTGTTAGCTGCTCCCAACAGGCCATTTCTGCCACCAGCTCCTCTGCATTAGTAAGGGATTGTAAGGTGAGAACAGCCTTCACCTTGGGTGGTATAAATGCCTCCTTCGTTGCCTTGTGGTGAAAGAGAAGCCGAGCACCGTGGATGTCAAACGTTGCACAGCAGTGGGAAACAACAGGTCCAAGCCAATGCCCCTCACTCACGCTCATCTCTCTGCACCTTATGAAAGTCCCCCCGGCGCTCTTCATGTGTTGTGTGTGCATGTGTGTGCATGTGGGAGAGAGGAGATTAGTAGGAAACCCTGGGAACTGCTACTGCTTCTCCCCAGTTTGTTGTTATTTACGCTGCTTCCCCAGCATAGGCTGTGACATGCTCCTGAATTCAAGGGACTGAGGCAGAGGACTCCAGCTGATCCTTTTGCTGCATTTGATAAACAAGGACCTTGCCAGGCTCTCTGTGCTTTTTTGAAGAAAATAAGGATGCCATCTGTGTGCAAAACCAACTCTGGCTAGAGGGAGACCAGAGGTATGGATCTTGCTTTGGAAATGCAATGTTCACACTTCACTCACGGGGAGGAGTTGGTGTTGGTCTGAAATCTGGAGAAGAGCAATTGTCCTCTTCCTATGCTCTTGGGACACAGGAAATGTATTTCTTCCTTGAAATAAAGCTATTTAAAAAAAGGCCTCTCTTAGACACTAGAATATGAGAGGCCAGATCCCCTGCTGAGTTAAATCAGCGTATCTCTTTGAGCACCAGTGTAGTAGTGCCAATTATAGAACTAAGGATATAGCCATGATGTAGACAAATAGTGTACATATATTTCCATGTGCATATACATATGTACACCTATATACATACCTGTAATGCATACTTGGTATATTCTTCAAAGTCTTAAAAACAGGAGGCCTCTGAGCTTACCTCAGTTATGCCCAGAGTAAATCAGCAGTGATTTCCTTGAGGTCAGATTACACCAATGAAAGAAGTGTTGCGCCCACCAAAGTCCATTACACGCAGAGGTTGCAGGATCAGCCCTTAATGTACACTTCACGCCATGCTGGCACATGTGCTGGGGTCAAAGTATTACTGTTGCTGCACATTTTCCAGAGTCCAAACTGTAAGTCTCGTATCTTTATACAACCTAATAAAACTAATGAGATTTCCTCACATCTTCTGAGGTCAACGAAATGTTATTGTCTTCTCTTCACAAGCAACAGTGTGAAGATCTTGGTTTTCAATTCAAACTTTCAGCTATGTGCATCGAAGTACCCAAGTCCGTCTTTGCCCTCCAGCTGATGCCTGCATGCCCCAGCTCCTGCTATTTCGGTGAATAAGACACACCCCCCCCCATTTCTGCTACGGGGGCAGGGGGAGAGAGATGCACAGCCAAGCCACTGGCTAAAGGTGAGTTGTGCACATCACTCACATCCTAAGCCTCACCTCAAGAGCACTGTAATCAGACCTGGCCCACAGAGAGCGATGTCTGTGTCCACACCGGAGTTTCCACAGAGTGTCTTTTTTCCTCTCTCCATGCTCTGCCTCTTGACCCGCAGTGCTGTTTGTACAAAATGCTTCGATACGCAGTTTTAAACTATGGGGTGTTTAGTTTGTTCTGTTGCTGGGGGGAACTCACCATTTGAATGAGCATCTTGAAAAGTCATGTTATGGCTCTGTCAAAATAATGGAATTCAGTTAGACAGCTCTTTCTCAATATTGGCAACTGCTCAGGTCTTCATTTTGCATTGTCACCACTTGGCAAACTTCAGAAAACATTGCATTACCCTCTACCAGTGTTTGAGGACGCAGGGGTCTGGGTTAGCGATACTGCTGCTTTGGAAAGTGCAATATGAGAAAAACAGATTTATAGATCAAAGTGCTTAAGCAGTTTCTTCATTCTAAGAAAAAGCACATCTGAATATTATGTGAATTTGTTAGATGCCTTTTTGCTTTTTTGAAAAAGCAAGCAAGCAAATGGGCTTCTGTCAGTAACTGATCTGCAGCCTTTTAATGACCAAAGGAAAATGAAGAATTCTTCATAGGGACAGTGGCACATTTGGACTTGTGTGATGCTGGTGTGTAAAGCTAGATATTAATAGTAACACGAGTGAGGATTTAAATAGACGCTAGCAAAAGCAAATGCAAATCTAGCTATTTTTAAAGTAACGCAGGGAATAGCAATCACAAATGAAATCGAATATTACAGCAAATATTAAATACAAACAGCAGTTAAAGGTCAGTGTCTTACTATAGTGACACCATACAGTTTTGTGACTTTAACATAGCCGTTAGTAAACCTGAAACCAGCGCTAAAACTGAAAGAGTGTGTATATCTGGAACCAATGAAACTTGAGATAAACATTGATGCCGATGAAAAGGGTATTATGGTAGCACACACTCGTGTGTTTGCTAACTTTGTGTGCCTCATTAACCAGGGGCGAACAGACATCCACATACTTAGGCTGCCCAAAATATACTTTTCTCATGTATTATAATCCCGGTCTCCAGAACTGACTCCTGTACCAGGGCAGCATTCTTTCATGAAGTTATCTGAAGGCGAAAGAACGTTGCCCTTCGTTGAGTATTGTCACTAGAGTTTAGAAAGCTAATTGGCAGTGGCCTTTAAAAATATGAAGCATGAAGGCGCGTACCCCTTTTTAGGGGGCAGAGGGAACACAGCATTACTGGGGGGACCTTTGGAGCTAGAAATCTGCTCTGAGGAATGTCACCACTTAAAAATACTTCACTGGCCCCTGCGTGAACTCAGTAGTGTCATCAAAACCATCAGATAAAAATAAGGTTTTCTTACTTTTCGCTCCTCTTAATCCCGTGGAGCCACCGCAGCCATAAGGGAGGAGGAGCACAGCTTTCCTCATGGTTCGCGGCGGGGGCTTTAGCCTGCCGGCTCGTACTCCGGCTGATTTCAAAGCAATGGGCTCATCTGCGTGCCTGCCTGCAAGGTCGGGCTCTAAAGGCCCCTAAAGCCTGGCCATGGCACCCACGTCCTCCCGCACCTGCTCTGCCGCTACGGCAGGGGCCGCCAACGCAGCCACCCACAGCCAACAGCCAACCTCGGCTTGTCAGCATCTGTTACAAGCAACGATGCAAAAATGAGAAACCCACCCAAACCGTGACTGATCTGCAAGTGCATTTGTTACGGTTGTAGCTCCTTCTTTTTTTATTTGGCTGGAAGCTGTTCCAGGTGGAACCAGAGCTGACCCGGAACGTAGCACAACCCCCAGTGCAAACCCCCGGTGCCTAGCGGGACCGGGGCGAGGGCAGCTCCCGGCCGGCCTGCACAACC